AAAGTTCACATCAACAAGATTGTTTAAACATATGCTACCAATAATTAGATAAAATCACGAGAATATCATAGTGATAACACAGAAGTTGCCTTCAGAGTTAGCAGCTACAAGTATAGACAAGGAAAGCATCTAAATAGTTAGATTTTTCATGCTTCACTTTAATTGTGGATGATATGAACTTATGAACATTTCAGGTTAATCTCAGTTAGGATTAAGTAATAATAAACTTGACCACAAGAAAAATATAATATAGGGAAGAAACATGTAGGGGTAGAGGTCACAATAGAATCATAAATGAAAGACTACGATGTTTCGTTAAACATGAACAGTCATTCAAGGTACATTAAGTGAAATAAGCCATGTATGCTATTTAGACTCAAAAACAAAAGTCATTTGAGGTCACATAACTGCCAAATAAACATTGATTAAAGACTTAGAAACATGACAAGTGATCACAAGTAGTCACTATATTAGCCTAAACAAAAATAAACATTTCTATACTAGTTTCAAGCATAATTAATGACTATAGTTCACATAAGACAACAAGCGTATTCATAATGCTCAAATAAGATGATCAAAAGAGATAAGTTAGGGATGTACTGACCTTTTTGAGGGCAGCAGACCAAACTAGAATTTCTCTTAGTTGCTTAAGACCCCAAAGCTTCAAGCTCGAAGCAGCGAAAGTCCTCAGAAATGAGAAAAAAAAGTAAATTAGTTAGAAAACCCAGGTTTTGAAATCTCATAATTGCTCGTAGATGATTGTTCTTTCGTCTAGTTGGTGATTCTAGGTTGTGGTAGATCATGTTAGGTCATTGTAGATGAGAACATTAAAGGTCTTATTTATAGTGCCATTAAGGCTCTAGGGTTTCAATGGATTCAAAATCACAAATGGAAAGTGACAAAAGATTGATGATAGCAAAATCAAGTGAAAACCTGAGAGGTAGAAGGGAAAATAAGGTTGAGTTTACCTAAGCATCACTGCGTTTGACCTCTGGACATCGAATCCACAAAATGAACGTTGAGATCGACTCCATGCATGCTCTGATTTGACAGAACATGAAGGAAATTTGGAGATTTGAAGTTGAGTTATTGACTCTAGGGTTTCAGGATTTGGGTGTTTTGAATTTGAGTGATGAGATAGGAAATAGCCGGCTAGATTCACGGATTTCAGAAGGCAAAGGGTGGTTTCAGGCTCGATATTTGACTTGTGAGAGAAAATCATATGATTTCCCTTTCAAGCTTAGGGTTTCAGATTAGTGGTCTTGAATTTGTGATCGAAAGAGGAAATTATCAGCAGGATTCGTGGTGAAACAGGGACAAAAGGGATTATTTAGAGTGGTTTCAAGTGAACTTGCATGGATTTGTGCATGGTTTTGGGAGATTGATGGCTGATGGAGATGAGAGAAAAGAGAGGGGAGAAGGAAAATAAGGATGGTTGTTCTCTAAGTGAATGATTAGTGTTTGGGAGAATAGGGGTTGGTCTCCGAATTAAATTTGGGAGATAGAACCTGGGCCGTTAGATCTGATGATCAACGGCCCTGATAATTTGATCGTCTAGGATTTTTAAGGGGGATTTTTGGTGTCCGTTAGAAGATGAGGTTTTGGGAGGTGCGATGAGACCTCTGGGTGGGTATTTAAAATTAAGAGAAAATTAGTGATTAAATATGAACCGTTGATCAGATGACCCAGTACTCAGATGTGAGTGTGTTTGTTTTGTGAGTGGTGAAGGAGGGTGACGTGGCACACAGTGATTGGTGCAAAGAGAAGGGCATGGATTGAAACATTGGAATGGAGATGGGGAGGGTCAGAATTAGCTGTTAGAATTAAGTATAAATAAATTAATTTTAAGAGATGGTCAGAATTAGATGTCAACAGCTGCCCCTCTTTGACCGGACACGATGAATGAGTTTTCGGGCAAAGAAATTGAAACAAAGCCAATTTTGTCCCGACTTTAGGCATGTATTGCAGGAGTGGCATGAAGTTTATAAGTTGTAAGATTGAGTTAAGGAAGATTATGAGAAGATTTTGGGAAGAATCTTGGAGATGTTAGGGCCGAATTCTGGCTTTTAATTGCTTACATACCTCGAGCTTAACGAGGATCATGCCTCATGTAGTTCTGGAGTAAAGATATTGAGGAAGCGGCACTCGTAGGAATTGCCCCAATATCGTATTATGATGATACGGCGAGACGGAGGATTGGGCACTCTTGATAGCTTGAATTTTGCGGCTTGATTTGAAGGATTTGAAATTTTTGAGTTTCACTAGTCATCTTAAACTTGGATCCTTGGCCCGCTAATGGGTTGTTGTCCCCATAGCATTGTAGTTTGGTCTGCTGCTAAGAAACGTTCCACACTACGGTGTTTGTTCCTGTAAAACAAATAAAATACACGGTAAGAAGTGATGATAATGATGCAGGAATGATAATGCATGGCTGTCGGTGAGCCGTTATTTAGGATCGGGATGGTGGGATACTAGATTTTGACTCAATTTGTTAGTCAGGCTATGTACCATTCTGCAATTGTCAGAGCATTTGAAAAATCCTCTCCGCTTTTTGGGAGATCTTGATCGGTAGACTGCGTCTCCGCTTGCTCGGAGATCTTTGCACTGATAAATGTCTCCGCTTGTTGTGAGAGCTTAATTTGTAAAGTGCGTCTCCGCTTGTTGGAAGACTCTTTGCACTGAAATGTAAAGTAGTCTCTGCTTGGGAGTGATTGACTAAACCATAATAATGATTGAAAGTGCATGAGAAAGATATACTCTTAACTGCGAAGCTAAGTTGCGGTCATCGATTGGAAGAACATTGGTGGCGAGGTTAGCAACTAACTATTCTGGCATCAGTCGTGACAGAGCGGTGATGTGAATTGCTTTGTTGGCGAAGTTTGTAGTTTGCTATATACAAGGCTCCGATTGGCAAAGTCAATGTTAAATTTGTACAAGGTGCTCTAATTGATTGAGGAGGTTGTTTGCTATATACATGGCTTCAATTGGTGAAGCCCACGAATCGTTTGTACAAGATGCTCCGATTAGTTGAGCAGGCAGTTTGATATATATTGGATTTGTTTTGATGAAGCCAGCGATCTATTTTGTACAAGGTGCTCCGGTCGTTTGAGCAGGCAATTTACTATGCATAGGTTTTTCGATATCAGTTGTCTGATTCCAAGGTACCTACAAAGGATTCAAAGGTTAGCTTTATCTATACTAGAAAAATCTAAGTAAAGAAGGAAGATAGATAATCTTATGCAAGTGGCGGGTCTGTCATTTTCCCCAGTGTGGTCTTAATGCCTCTTTTCTCCCTGTTGACCCTGTACTCAAAGAAAAATTCTTAGTGGGGGCGGGAAGGCTGTTTGTGTCGACCACAATGTTGGTTTGTCTCGGCCTTCGACATGATTGCGCCGCAAAGTTCAGTAAATGGAAAAAGTATGGTGTATAAATTTTTTGTTTTAGAAAACACTTTGAAAATACATTGTTTTTAAGGCAAATGTTGTCATTCCGGATTATGACATGTTACAAAAGGTTCTCCACACGTGAGTGTATCCTCTTGAAAACTTTGTCCTGTTGATGTCGATCTTCCGCGATGCTTCTGACAACGCGACTGCTTGTTGTCGCGATTGTGTCATAATTCAAAATAATGCATTACAAGGATTTTCCTAAGGTTATGACTGAACACTTTCGGGTTGCCTACGTATCTAAAATAGAATCAGGTCTGAATGTAGTTCGTGGATTATGATAAAATATGATGAAGATAACTGAGCCTGACTCAGGTAGCCTACGTATCCAAATGGAATTAGTCAAAGCGTAGTTCGATTACAACATATGCAAAATGATGAGATTAAGAATGAAAATGGTCGTCTTACTCAGACAGCCTATGTATCAAAACAGAATCAGGCCAGAATGTAGTTCAATTACAAAAGATGACTGAATCCGATGAGGATTGCGTAAGTATCCCCTTATGAGGAAATCAAGTCGGCGTAGTTCCTAAGCAACATACAAAATTGATATTTGGTTTTTCAATTATAAGAGAAAGGCGAGAGAGAAACCGAAACCTACGTGGGTTGCCTATGTATCCCTCCGTAGGAAGTCAGGTTTAACGTAGTTCTGTTACAGCAAAAACCTAACTCTATTTGTCTTCAAACATAGTATTTCTTGACTGTGTCTGAGTTGATAGGCTTCATGTTGACTTTTCCATCCATTTCTGCCAAGATTAAAGATCCACCCGATAGTGCTCGGTGAACCACGTAAGGACCTTGCCAGTTTGGAACGAACTTTCCTTTGACTTCTTCTTGGTGGGGAAAGATTTTCTTCAAGACTAACTGCCCCGGTGTGAATTGGAGCGGCTTCACTCTTTTGTTAAATGCAATGGCCATCTGATTCTGATATAGTTGACCATGACATATTGCATCCATTTTTTTCTCGTCAATAAGCATGAGTTGCTCCTGTATGACCCATATCCACTCTGCATCATCCAACTTTGCCTCTCGAATGACTCTTAAAGATGGTATTTTGACCTTTGTGGGTATCACAACTTCAGTGACGTATACTAACATGTATGGGGTTGCCCCAACGGATGTTCTCTTGGTGGTCCGTTAACCAAGTAAAGTGAAATGTAGCTTCTCGTGCCATTATCTATGATTGTCCACTATCTTCCATAGAATTCTATTGATATTCTGGTTCGCTGCCTCGACTTCCCCGTACATTTTTGGTCTATGGGCCGTGGAATTACGGTTAGCGGCGTTGTTAGTGATGATAGACTCTGGTATCCCAAATCTGCAGACGATGTTGTTTCTGACAAAATCTGGCACTACCTTCTTTGGGATGACCTTGTAAGTAGATGCCTCGACCAATTTGGTGAAATAGTCGATAGATACCAAGATGAAACGATGTCTATTTGATGTTGCGGAGTCTATAGGTCCAATCACGTCCATGCCCTAAGCGGCAAACGGCTAGGGTGAACCTATTACGTTTAACTCATTCGGCGGAACCCGAATGAAATCCTCGTGAATCTAGCACCGGTGACACTTCTGTACGTAGCGGATACTGTCACTTTCCATAGTTCCCCAAAAGTATCCAGCTATCAAGATCTTCTTAGCTAATGTGAACCCGTTCATGTGAGGTCCGCACGTTCCTACATGTATCTCTTCTAATAGTCTGGTTGCCTCAGTGGCGTCTACATATCTCAACAAACCTAAGTCTGGGGTCCTTCTATACAGGGCTTCCCCGTTGAGGAACATTTGGTTTTCCAGCCTCCTGAGGGCTCGATTTTGACCATTAGTAGCATTCTCCAGGTATTCTCTAGTTGCAAGGAATTTCTTGATGTCGAGATACCATGCTTTACCATTTGGTTCTTCATCTACATAGAAGCAATAGGCATGTTGATCCCTGATCTCTACCTCGATAGGGTCGATGTAGTTCTTGTCTGGATGTTGAATCATAGATGATAAGGTTGCAAGGGCATCAATGAACGTGTTTTGAATCCTGGGGACATGCTTGAAATCAATCTTTGTGAACTTCTTGCATAGCTCCTTCACGCAGCGCATATATGGAAGTATCTTGACATTCCTGGTGGACCATTCCCCTTGGACTTGGTGTATCAATTGATCAGAATCCCTTATGACCAAAAGTTCTTTGATGTTCATGGCGATTTCCATTATGATTTTAAGGATGCATGCTTCGTATTCAGCCATATTATTGGTACCATGGAATCTTATCTTTGCCGGTGCTAGACAGTGTTGTCCAAATTCCGACTCCCTTGAAGTTTGTTGCTCTATCGAAAAATATTCTCTATCCAGGGTATGATTCTGCAATATCTTCTCCAGCAAACAACACTTCTTCATTGGGAAAATACGTGGTAAGTGGCTCGTCATCCCCATCCACCGGGTTCTCTGTGAGATGGTCAGCTAAAGCTTGTCCTTTTCCTTTTGCGTTATGTACTCAATGTCAAATTCGCTGAGGAGAATTTGCCATTTAGCTTTCTTTCCTATAAGCATCAGCTTATGGAAGATGTACTTGAGCGGGGCATGCCGAGATATCAGATGCGTAGTGTATGTCGATATGTAATGTCATAGTTACTGGGCAATCCAAGTCAGAGCACAACAAGTGTGTTCTATGAGAGTATACTTGGCCTCGCATGGCATGAACTTCTTACTTAAGTAGTAGATGGCCTGCTCCTTTCTCCCAGTTTCGTCATGTTGTCCCAACACACTGCCGAAGGCGTAATCCAAGACTGACAAATATAGTGACAATGGCTTAATTGGTTCGGGGGGAACCAGCACTGGTGGATTTGATAGATACTCCTTGATTCTATCGAAGGCTTTCTGGCACTCTTCTGTCCATTTTGTTGTTGCATCCTTCTTCAACAACTTGAAAATGGCTCACAGATTACCGTGGATTGGGCTATGAAGCTACTGATGTAATTCAATCTCCCCAGGAAACTGATGACATCTTTCTTGTTCTTTGGTGGTCGTAATTCCTGGATGGCCTTGATTTTTGATGGGTTCAGTTCTATCCCCTTCATGCTTACAATAAAGCCCAACAGCTTTCTAGCGGGGACTCCGAACGTGCACTTTTTGGGGTTCAACTACAAACTGTACCTTTACAGGCGTTCGAAATAATTAATCAAATTGTCTAAGTGCTACGTACTCTTTCGAGACTTTATGATGATTTAATCCACATACACTTTAATCTCCTTATAAATCATACCATGAATGAGGGTCGTCATGGCCCTCATGTATATGGTGTCGGCGTTCTTGAGTCTGAACGGCATAACTCTATAGTAGTAGACTCCCTAAGGTGTGGTGAAGGCCGTCTTCTCTACATCTTCCTTGTGCATCAAGATTTAGTGATACCCAAAGAAACAATCCATAAACGACAGCAATCCATGCTTCGCATAGTTGTCGATGAGGATTGGATATTTGGCAGAGGGAAATCATCTTTTGGACTAGATTTGTAGAGATCTCGGTAATCCACACATATTCTAATCTTCCCGTGTTTCTTGGGGACCGGGACGATATTTTCCAGCCAGCTTGGATAATTGGTGACCCTTACTACATTCGCTTCTATCTGTTTGGTCACTTCTTCCATTATCCTTAAACTTAAATCAGGTTTGAATTTTTTGGGTTTCTGTATGACCGGTGATCTCATAGGACCGGTGGGCAGTCGGGACTGACGATCTCGACAATGTCAGTACTTAATCTTGGCATGTCATCATAGGACCATGCGAACACGTCGACATACTGTCGGAGGAGCTCAATCTATTTTTTCTTCTGCTCGGCTTTTAGGTGAATGCTGATTCTGGTTTCTTTTACGTCTTCTTTACTTCAAAGATTGACTACTTCCGTCTCTTCGAGATTGGGCTTTTTCTAACTTCCAGACTGCTCGATCTCCTATGGGAGATTGTCTAGCATCATTCTCTCGTCATACTCATAATCTGGGTCATTGCGCTAAACGGATACGTTACATTTCGTAACCGTGGGACTTGGGCTTTTAGCATTTTGATTATTGAAAAGGAAAGCTAGGTATAAATAAAGATGCAATATTTGAGAAAATGATTTTTTTTTATTTCATCAAAAGAGGAATGTCTTAAGCGTTCAAAAGAGGTAAATGACAAAAAGGTACAGGCACGGTGCATGCCTCAATTGACCGTGCACTTTTCAAAAAGTAACCTTCAACAGTTTCATACTACAAAGACTCCCGGTGAACCAAAGATGGACTATCGGTCAAATTCCGCAGCTCTTACCCTAGTCCGGCATCCCTGATAGTCGGTGTCTTGATGTCAGTCCCTTCACAACATTCTTCAATTATATTCATGAACAGCTTTCCCATCCTGTCAATGATATCATCTTCTGTACTAAATTTTGTCCCAGACTTGGAACATGCTCTGGCACAAAAACCTTTATCTCGGAGCTAACAGTAGGAGCTTTCCATTCCAGAGGCTGATATCTTATGCTGGCTCTTCCTTTTCTGCCCATTATGTTAAATTGGCTTTGTGATTGCATCCGACCCGGCTCCCAGCCATGTTCCTAGCTTGTATCCATATTTCATCATCTCCCTCATAGCCATCTTGGACCTATACGGTGACTGCGTTCCCAAGTTTTTTTCAGTCTCTTCCATTTCGGTAGTCTGCATGATTTCTACCACATAGAAAACAACTTTGTATAGCCCTTCAATGAACGGAACATCATACTCCAAATAAGCATAGTTACCCAACTCGACATGAACCACGATCACCTGACATCCCTACTCAAATTTCATGCATTGGTGTAAAGTGGATGGCACGGCCCCTGTCATATGTATCCAGGGCCTTCCTAGCAGCAACTTGTAGGAAAAGGAGATGTCCATTACTTGAAACAATATCGTAAATTCGACTGTCACGATCTGCAAGGCCAAATAAATTTCTCCAATAAAGTACTTTTTAAAAATATCAAAGGCCCTTACCCTTACGTGACTTTCCTTGACTTCTCTCAAATGAATTCCTAATTCCCGTAGAGTGGAGAGCGGACAAATATTGATTCTTGACCCTCCATCGACCAACACTCGGGACACCACTTTGTCCCCATATTTGACAGTAATATAAAGATCCTTGTTGTCACTTGTGCCTTTTGCAGGAAGTTCGTTTCTATTGAAAGTGATCATGTTTGCTTCGACCATTTTTCCAATTGTCGCGACCAGCGCTTAACTAGTGGTGTTACTTGGTACACTTATCCCACTTAGTACTTTCAATAGGGTGTCCTTATGACTGTCAGAACTCATTAGCAGATCTATGATTGATATATGTGTTGTAGTTTTCTTCAGCTGTTCCTCTACAGAATACTCATTGTTTGACATTCTCTTCCAAAACATGGCGGCTTTTGGGTCTGTTATGTTCCTTATTGGAATTTGTTCTCTTCCCAAGTTTACTAGATTGACATCTTCAGGAGCGTAGCATCTCCCAGACCTAGTCATACCAAGGGCTGCGGCAGAGTTTGTCATTTTGGCCTTTCCCTTTTGCTTGTAAGTCCATAGGATAGTTCTGTACTTCTGCCTTTCCTCGTCTTTTGTTGCAGCGACAGGTTGTCGCTGATAAGTTTCAATAGTCATTGTATGTCTCACTTGTACTGTAATCATTGGAGCCCTTTGAGGAGGGATCCTGACAGCTTTTTCATTCCCTATAGTGAAAATCATTCCCACTAGGTCATACTTTTTCTCCAATGTAATTATGTTAACTCCCTGGTTTCGGTGATTCATATTGGGCGGAGCCAGAGTGCATTGGATGGCTCCGCTCTTGATCTGTGATTTAATCTTATTCTTCAACTTAAAATAATCTTCAGTATCATGCCCGGGTACATTGGAATGGTGCATGCATATTTTAGTGGCATCAAAATACTTGGAGGGGTATTCAGGAACCCTTCCTTCGACTGGGTGTATTAATCCTGCTCTTCTCAATCTTTCAAACAATTGGGCCAGAGGCTCAGTAATCGCGGTATAATTTCTAAGACCCCTCTATTCAAAGTTGGGACGAAGGCGTGGTGCATAAGCATGTCAGTTTTGGTGAGTAGTGGTTTGGACAAGAGCATATGGTCGTCATGGGTTTTTGTTGTTGTTGGCTCGAGGACGGTTTTATTGTGGTTTAGGGTGGTAATATGGTTGGGTGTTATAGACTGGAGCATAAGTGGGTGGTGTTCAATGATTGTTTGCGGAATAGGAAGTGCTTTCGTGGTGTGGATTGGGTTGATAGTAAGGGACGACTGCTGGGACCTCCTCTCTCTTCTTCTTTCCACTACCGATTGACCTTGATTGGATGGCCTTGCTGGCCGCTTGCAGTGCTGCCATGGATTGTACTTTTCCCGATTTTATGCTCTCTTCTATGAAATCTCCAATCTTGACCAGCTCGGGGAATTTCTGTCCCATATTCCCATCAACTATTCGAAGTATATCCTTTCCTGGGCTCTGATGAAATACTTGGTTAATTTATTATTGTCCAGCAGAGGTTGCGCCCTAGCGGCCTTTGACCTCCACCGACGTGCATATTCTTGGAATGACTCATATGGTGTTTTTGTAGGTTTACTAGTGCCAACCGACCGGGAATGATCTCTGTGTTGAATCGAGAATGATTCATGAAGTCCTCCGCTATATCTTGCCAAGTTATCCAATTTCACAGATCTCATCGAGTGTACTAGGGGAGTGCTTATCCCGTCAAACTTCTTATAAATAACTTCATCCTTAGCTTCTCATTCCTCCCCACTCCGACCAACTTGTCACAATACACCCTCAAATGTGCGTAGGATCTCCCGTCCCATCGAAGATATCAAACTTTGGGGGTTTATACCCTGCTGGCATATCCACATCCGGATGAATACATAGATCCTCGTAGTCCAAACTTTCAATTCCCCGGGCAACTTGGAGGCTCTTTATTTGCCTTCTTAAAATTTGCAACTGCTCAGATACTGACTCTTCCTCCTTACGCCTGGCTTCCTTCTCCATCTTGGCATATTGGTTAATCTCATAAGACACCATGACCATGACAAGTGATGTAAAGGTAGGTTCATAAATGGAATATACATGGGGTACGTACCGCTCATGGGCGGCTGCATGTGCCACAGGTATGTGCTGGTTGGTAGTAAAAGTGACTCCGTCACGAGGAGGGGTATGATTTGCATTGGTAGTAATAGGCGGGTTTTGTGGTGTCTGAAAGTACTGTGGTACGTCA